GTGTGTGTGTGTGTGTGTGTGTGTGTGTGTGTGTGTGTCCCTCGAAAAAAACCCAGCAATAGATGGAGGTTGGATAGATGGGTTGACAGACTGGGGTGGAGTGTAAATTATCAACAGATGTCTGTATACCAGTTAGCAGGGAAAAAACCAAAACAAAATTCTAAACAAAAAACAAACAAAAACAAACCAAGCTAAATTCAGCCTTGCGAGATCTCATTAACTTAGAGTATTAAAAGTATGTGCAACCTGTAAACTTAATGTACTGTTTCTGTGTCATGCGGCTAGAATTCCAATAAAACTGGCAGCTAATGAAAGTCTTGGTAGAAATTTGCCTTTATCAAATCGGACTTAAGTGTCCATTTAGTCAAATGCAAGGTTCGATTGTTTAATCATAATTAAAGTGTATTACACTAGCTGTCACTGGCAGAACTGAAGACAAACGAGACAGGGGTAGACTCTGGGTAACCTACCCGGAGAGCCTTAACAGATGGGCGACTGGGACAGATCAAGATAATGTAGCTTTGTTGAGAGCTTCCAAATGAAGGAATAAATGGAGAACCATTATCGCCGATGATTGTCGCAGATTCGACACGTCATGATAATTGCACTAGTGTCCAAAAGCCACTACTTCGTTTCGACTGAATTCAATTAGCAGTGTGCACTGAGTATAAGCCTGTCGATAGCATTGAATGATCGGAACGAAAGTTAAAGGGGAAAAATTCTCGCTATTGATTTAAACAAAAACATAATTCTAATATAAATACGTTTGGCATAAAGCTGAGACACATTAAACTGGCATGTTGCCGACATACCTTATGATCCCCCGACTTTGTGCGTTCTAACAGGATGCCATTTTAATTTGTATCTTCGAAAAAGTGTGTTTTTCTTGCAGGAAATAAAACATATTTAGTTGGATACACGTGTTACTAATGAAACTGAGCGGCGAGAAATCCCAAACTCTTTTGAATCAATACCAACATTTTTTAAAGCTAGTCTGGCAGACATTATTTGGGCTTTTATGGGTAGATAGAGTATCTAGATAGATACAGGGGTAAACAAACGCACACACATGCACACACTCACACACACACACATACACACACACACACACACACACACACACACACACACACACACATACATACACACACGCAAAGAGAGAGAGAGAGAGAGAGAGAGAGAGAGAGAGAGAGAGAGAGAGAGAGAGAAAGAGAGAGATATAGGGGAGAAAGCAGAAAGAGAGAGATAAAGAGAACGAGAACGCAGATAGATAGATAGATAGATAGATAGATAGATAGATAGATAGATAGATAGATAGATAGATAGATAGATGGAAAGGAAGGAAAGGGTGAGAGAGCGGGGGGGAGAGAAAGAGAGAGAGTGAGTGAGAGAGAGATAGAGAGAGGGAGAGAGAAAGAAAGTGAAAGAGGGAGAAAAAAAGGAAGAGAGGGAGAGACATAGTAGATAGAGAGAGACATAGAGAGAGAGAGGGGGGGGGGGCAGAGTCAGAGAACACACATACTCTCCAAATTACCGTTTGATGGGAAGAGTTGAGCTAACTTAAACAATTGGGCTTTGGCAAAACAGAACCCTAGGACTGCTCACAGTGTGAAATGTCAATGGCCACGGTCGATATTTTGCCGAACGCGATTCGAAAACAAACGAGAGTCCGCGTAAACATGTTTTGAATAGGTCAAGATGTCCTTTTGACAAGATGCCGTGGTGTTCTTTCTCGGGTTTGCCGACAGCGTGTCGAAAGCGGAGCCACAGTTTCCGTGCCTTCTCGGCATGGCAATGTAAATAAATCCCTATGAGATCTACTTGTACTTGTGTGTATGTGTGTGTGTACACAACCTAAAGGAATTCAGCCTAAGGGAGTGGCCACACGATCTGCTACGGACGGAAGGTAGAAAAGTCTAAAATGTGCGCCACACAATGTTGCTGAGTTGTTAAACGAAACAGACTGAGTCATGCTGAAGAAAGATACTTTTTGAGTCAACCGGGGGCAGTGTTTGTATACACTTTAATTTGTTAGTTTTCTGTCAGGCTCAGTTCGTCTCTCTGCGTTCTGCAGGATTGTGCCCTTAACGTTCTGATAAGTCTGAGGTTAAAAACATAAAGGAAACTTTCCAGAAGACTCGCTTTGTTGTTTGTTGTTTTTTAGCTCTTTTACCGCTCCACCAAACACTGAATTCGGCACATTTAAGGCAGTACCATCATTTAGAGTTTGTGGGGTCTATATTTTAAAAAAATAAGGTTCGAAAGGGATGGCTAGCAAAATACGTAGTTATATATAACGGGATTTCACCCACTTTTTAACTGTTGGTGAGTAACGCCCCCATCAACACACTTGAAATCTTTTAAGAGGCAGGCTTCAAACTTGCCTGTCACTGCCACGCTTCGCTGAGGGGGGGGGGGATAAATGTCTCAGCAGAAAGACAGCTTTACTCAAAACAAAACAAAAATTCCCTCCTCCAGACGGGAATCGAACTCAGGTTTGTTAGCCTGTGATGGCGAAGCGCCTAACCGTCACGCCGCAAACGCCAGACACATCATCCCTGCTCCAGAGACCTTGTGGCGTACAAGTGACATCTTATACGCGGTGCCCATTACCAAGATCGGTTCGGTTCGGTTCGGTTCGGCTCAGTTCGATTCGGTCGTCACGGTCATGCATGTAGCTAGATTTTCCCCCATGGAGGGAGAAACGCTATCATAGTGGCACAAACTGAACGAAACTGACGGTAACTTTCAAAAACAAACGCGTTTGTTTTCAAGGCCGCGAGTCGGGCGATCAGTTTGAGAGAGAGGTCTATTTATAGTGTGTTCTGCAGCCGCCAGAAACTGATCCGAACCAAACCGAATCGATCCTCCAATGAGCATTGCCTATTTCTCGTATGGAAAGGGGGGAGGGAAAGAGTTGCGTCTTTGTGGATGGAAGTGTGGATTATCATTGACAAGAAATGTCTCTCCTTGTTCACAGGTCAGACAGAGAAGACGTGGCGACTTCGCCTCAAGGACGACGACCGTTATGAGCAACTGGAGACCTTCACCTTGAAGCTCAGTGACCCAGTTACTGCGGTGTTAGAGTACCCGGATATTGCAGAAGTCACCATCGAGGACATAGAAGACGGTGAGTTGGTTGGTCGGAAGAGGCGGGGTCTGGCGGAAAGATGGGAAGGTCGGAATTAATATTCTTGGGAAGGCTCTATAAAAGATGTTTTTTATGCTGATGTTGTTTTAGGTTGTGTTTTTGTGTTTATTTGTTTGTTTGTTTTTTAGGGAGGGGGTTGGGAGATTCGTATATTGAATCGCAGCCAGGGACCTAAAAAGAAACCCAAGGCGACGTCAGGTGTACAAGCTGTCGAGGCTGGACATGCAAAGTGACAATAAGATGAAAAGTGGTGAAGTGTATTTATCACAGAATGTTTTTAGACTAGGCTGGCTATTGGTAATAGATGGTGTAGCGGGCGGTATCAGTAACTGAGTATGGGTAAACAGAGAAACCCGCAAGCTTGAAGTGGAGCTTGAATGTTAAAATGTGGCAAACTTTTCTCTGCCAGAATTACTGTTGGTCTCATCGGCCACATCATCAGAAGCCACAAGTCATCTTAACCTTTGGTTCTTCCAATTTTTCAATTTTTCTGAAGAAATATTCTCCTCTGGGTTTTTTTTTCTAAGTGCGCAACTCATGTTTTGTTTTAGTAAGTATTTTCGGCACTTGCAACACAATAAAGTCAAATAAGTGCCGAAGATTAGAAGTGTTATGAGAGTAACAAACTCAAAAAAGAAAAAGAAAAGATCAGGACGATAGATGTTTTATAAGAAAGAACGAGCAAACCACACGTCCAGAGCACCCACCAAACACCTGCAATTTGTGGCGCTGATACTTTCACAACAGATACAATGTTTCGGTATGCGTTTTACAGCACTTGCAACACAATTAGGCCTTGTAAGTACCGAAGATTAGAGGTGTTACAAGAGAGTAACAAACGCACACACTCACACACACACAAGAGAGAGAGAGAGAGAGAGAGAGAGAGAGAGATAAGGACGATAGATGCTTGATAAGAGAGAAAGAGCAAACCACACCAGAGCACTCGTCGCACACCACCCCCAGATACACTGTTCATGATTCATGCTTAATTTTTGTTCTTTTTCTTTTCTTTTTTAAAAAACAATCCAGAGTCTAAAGTATTCTTCTCGAACAAGGAGTACCGCGTGTCTGAAGACATCGGCGAGATCCTGATCCCTGTCACCAGGACTGGGGATGCCCATGACGAGACAATGGTCATCTGCTCGACAGTACAAGGTCAGTCTTATGTTGGATGGACACTCGATCGACTGGTTGTGTGTGTTTGTTTGAGTCTTAGTTTAGACTGTTAAAGGACCCACGCATGTCGATGTGACATAAAAGTGGGTTTTAATTATCTTTAATGAAGTAAAACACAAATATGGTTCAATTTGAAAAATGTTGGGGGGGGGGGGGGAGTTAAATTGTAGGTGTTTTTACTCCCCCATCTACACAATTAGGTTAATTTAGGAGGCGGGCTTCTGGCCGTGCCTATCAGGGACAACCTCGGGCTTAGAGGGATACAACGTCCCACTAGAAAGTCGGAGAAATTTTATTTTAAAAATTTCTCCCCACCCACGCGGGAATCGAACTCGGGTCTCCTACGAGCGATGGCGTAGCGTCGCCTAACCGCTGCACCACGGACGCCGGTGCTCAATTTGACTTGTCCACGGGTAGAAAAAAAGTCTTTAAATAATCTGTGATTTGTGCATTGGCCTACCTAGATGCATATCCGTGATGTACGAAACTGAAACAAAAGCCTGATCTGGTAATAGAATACGTTTGTACTGAGTTTAAAGGCGAAGATGATGTGGTTTAAGTTAAAGGGTAGAGGAATTTGCCACGACATTCTTCAGGTAAATCAAGGGAAATAACCAAGAAAATTCAACCTTTGTCTTGAGAAATCGAATACGTTCCAGCCCTCGTATCCTTATTCTTGTAAGTTGTAAGCTCGTGCAGCTGGTTGATTTGGTGACACTCTCATCAGATGACTGAACCACGTGATTTTTATGACGTTCTATGTGTTCCATAACCGGTTTTATCCCTGTTAAATTTCGAACAGGTTCGTTCCTTAAGCAGTCTTCCTTATAGTAACATTGCTGTGTATTTTGTTATTCGTGTCCCCGTTTGATCTGCCAGCATTTATTTATTATTTTTTACAATTAAGTTTTTAGAGTTTTTCCCCTTCTCAATTCCCCTCCCCCAACCAGTTTTTCCCTTTTTTCTGTTAGTTTCTTTGTATGTTTGTTTATTTTTGCCCCTTTTTTCTTAAATTATATCCTTAGTTATGTTCGAAAAAAAAAACACCCAAAAAAGCATGAACATTCAAACAGCTACATTTCTCTCTCCCCCCGCCCCCTCCCTCCACCTGTAGACACTGCCAGGGGAACCGTTCCCAGCACGGTGACGTCATTCTCCGACTACATCTCCCGGCCCAATGACCACCGCAGCGTCCTGCGCTTCGACAAGGGAGAGCGGGAAAAGTTCTGCCGGGTCACCATCATCGACGACTCTCTGTTCGAGGAGGAAGAAAAGTTCACGGTGATTCTGTCGGCGCCCATGGGCGGGAAACTCGGGGAGTTGGAGACAACGGATGTCATCATTGAGCCGGACAAGAATGATGGTAGGAATTTTCTGCTTATTTCTTAGTTAGTTAGTTAGTTAGATTGTTTGTTTGTGTTTGTTTTATTTTGGAGGATGGAAGACGTAGTTGCACGAGGAAGGCACCTTTCCCCTCTCTCCCCCTTCACGCCCTTAATTTGCAAGGCGGGAAGCAAGCACATTACACAATAGACGAGAATGGAATTATGAGAGGAAGCTGTCTGAGCTGGTCACTCTACGCTACCTTAGAATTATAAAGTTCTATCTGCCCAGTACCTAGTTTTGAGAAATTTGATGTCCAAAATTTTAAGTTTCAAAACATGTCAAGATTTTCCGAATGCAATGCTTTGAATATCTTCACAACGATTCCGAATGATCTTTGATGGAGCAGATTGACCTAGAACATTTGGTTTCTGGCCTCGTGGTCTTAGTAGCTCAAAACGGCCAGACATATCAGACAGAACTTAGTTAACGATTAGTCCGGTGCTCGTCAACCTTTTAATAACTAACTTCTTTTATTAAGTTACAAATGAGTAACATGTCCGAAAAAGAAGGGG